TAACTACGTAGGACTGTACCCACTGAATTGACGTAAATCCCTAGCCCCTTTATGACACGGCAATGATGACCCCACGGTGGGTGCCCCGGCTCCTGAGAGCTAATTTTTCAAAGTACTACTATACTTATTTTGGCTGTTTATAATGCGGCAGAAGGTTCTGCTGTATACTCCCTTGAAAAATTGGTTCAATGGATAGCGCATTCTGGGGATGTATTTCCAGTATTTTCTGCTCACAACCTCTAATATACTCGAAATCCCTGAGATCGGGTAGGCGTGGCTGCGTACTTGATTTTAAAATGGCGGCGGCCCAGGTTTTCGTGAGATATTGTCATTTGGAGCAGTCGTAATCATGTCTACATCTAGCACAGAACAAGATAGCAGTTGTTTCAAATTGAAGTATCCCACGAGAAACCCGTCCTATGCCATGCTCAAAAGCCACGCCTACTCCGTCTCAGGGATAAGGAGTGTAAGTAAGAATGATGGGACAAGGAGCGCTATTATTCTACTACTTTGTGAAAAAAAGCAGCGTAAAACCAAGAATAGAACTCATAACACATGGCAAAATATTGCCAGTGCCATAAGTACACTGAATAGAAATTAGTTGCTTATGGAACTGTTACTGGCTCAAAAACCCTATTCCTATTCTCTTGAAAATTACCCACTGTAAACTCAGCTCTATGGACCCACCCTCGTTCTTGCAGTGTATGGGGAGGATGGGTCCGAGGCTGCATTACCATGCCGCATTCTCCGGTCAGAAGAACACGAGAACGCGACACGAAAGTAGAATGCCGTTTGTGGCCCTGCTTGCGGCACTGCCCCTGCCCATAATCAAGCGCGCTACTTGTTTGCTCTCCACGTCTGACTTACCGCTGAGTGAGTGTTTTGCTGCAGTACCTTGCACCGACGCAGGTGCTCTAACTTGAGGGTAGCAAGGATGAAGTTTGGAGACGACTCTCGCATACCACTACCATACAACGCTATTCCTATGCTCGTTTGAGCGAAAAAAGGGGCACGCACCAGACTTGTCCGCCTTACACATGGAAAGGCTGTCCTCAGGAGTGAACTGAACAATTTTTCTTCGAGTGGACGCTGCCGAAGTACGAGTACTTCCATTTTTCAATGATTGAAGTTGAAACTAAGTGATGCTGTGGTAATCAGCCATGGTAAAGCCTTCGAGCAAGTGCAGTGAAAAGAGACCAGGATCTGATGGGCACTAATGATTAGATGATATTTATAGGGTTGCATGGATATTTTGTTGATGGTCAGCTACTTCATTTTTGGAACACTCCGCTTATCAGAACTCTGCAACGGACTCTTCTGGACTTATAAGGAATATTACATAGCGACATGGTGTTACAACCAGACTTATGTGTCAGCCATACTGCGGATGTTCGGCGTTCTAGTTATCGTCATTTCAACGATATATTTTCACTTTGGCAACCGTCATCAAGTTGCAGGCAATGAAACTTGAGAAACTCTCCTGCTTAATATAAGCTCCGATGTTGAACTGCCTTTAAATCTATCAATACTTCAACATCCGACTGGATTTTCCTTTCTCCAATGGCATGCCTTCACAGCGTATTCTGTATCCTACTTCTGTCGTCTCAAGCTAGTGCCACTTTTAAAAGTTCAGAAAACATGGAGGTGCTGATTGAACGGCAGTCCATAACGGTAAGAAATATGACAATGCTTCTCATCTTTTATGAAATCTTCATGTTTCAGCTAGCTACATCGATGACAGCTACTTTCGTCCTCGTCACATTCATGCTCTGTAGCATGTGCTATGGGACGATACTGAGATTTCTGGTCAAAAATCGGTTCAGTAAATATGCGGGTGTCAGTCCTATACGTGAGCCTGCACTCTCCATTTATCACCCTGAGCATCCACTCCCTTGAGGGCCTTTGAACCGATGGCGAGGCTATAATTGCAGATGCTGGGACTGCTTGTCGGTTTTGTCCTTCTTGTCGTCTTCTACATCCTGCAGTTTACATTCTCACTTCATTCCAATGTAGGTGACTTAGTAATGGATTCGCAAACTAGTAATTTGGTCAGTTTTCAGTCAGGGCCACTTGTTCATATGGGGATCTACACGCAAGGTGGATCGTACTTGCCTTTGTGAGAAATGTTCCCGGTTGTTAACTTTTCTTGTTTTCTGCTGTTGCAAGGTGCTAAATATCCTCTATCTCCTGAAAAAAGGAGATTTTTCCAAGGAAAAAATTCCAGAAGAGTTATGGGATGGAGAATGGGATGTGGAAGTGGGTTGTACCAGCCAAACTGTAAAATGGAGAGTGCGGAGGGGGTGGAAGGGGGGGGGGAGGTGATTGGGGTCCTATTTTACGAATTTTTTTCCTCAGCGGCAGGAACGCCCTGTTTTCCGACCCTATCTACCCAGGCTCGATACGCAGTATTTTTGTGGCATGAAAGAAAAATGTGTAAGAGAAGATTTGGAGTGGCCACAGTGATTTGAAAAACGATAAAGTATCCGTCAAAACAATAGGTCGCAGAATCTATCCCAAATCGTGAAGGTGCTTAAGAATGGTGGCGTGTGTGTAGTTATGCAGTGTGTTAATTTTCAGTCGCAGCAAAAAAGGCTCTGCAATAGGCCTGGCATATGCAGCTCCCCTACCAGAACCAACCTAATCGAACAAGGCGTGAAGCTTAAGCTCAAGCGTCAACCTCAACCCTGTTTGGCTCGGAGGAAGAGGTGGAAGGAGCATTCCGCTTTTTCGCTGGTCCCTTTTGTTAGTTCATTTCAATGAACAGCTCTCGTTTCAGATGGGACATAAGATGTGTACAATCTCTGCAAAGCTCCGAAAGCATACAAGTAGCGTTCATCGTTAGTTGGCAGGAAGTTCTACAGGTCTTCACTCCGGCGGGTCTGTGAGTGATCTGAAGTGTGCCACTGTGTGCACTGCAAGACCTCAGACGAATAGACCACACATTTCAACTTAGGTACAGCAGTGTCGTTTTGTGCGCAGTACAGATTGACGAAGAGATCTGTGGGACTAGTTTGGGTGAGCTTATATACCATCTTCACTTCAAATTGGACACCAAACAAATCGTATCATCTTTCCAAATCAAATCGACACACCCCTTATCACCTGAAGGCAGCGACAACTAGACGACACGAGTACGCCGCTGCAAGGCCGCGCCCAACATCCCCCGCCCACTTCCTAGCCCGGTCATGGCTTTCCAGAATGTTTTATGAATTCTGTTTGTACAGGGACGTTATGGCTTCTCTCGTCACACAGGACGGAAAAAAGCTGAACTTTGTTCCGAGCGACGGAAGAGGCCATAATTTTACCACTACGGACGGACGCTAGCCTGCCTGATTGTGCATAACCTTTTCAAAAAAATCGGGCTTCTGTAAAATGGGGCGGAGCTCTATTAGTAGGCGTAGCCACATGCTACAGCCTAAAAAAATGAAAATTTGGAAGGAAAGTCAAAATTGCGCGAAAACCATCAAAGTTGGCGTGGTCACAGGGGATCGGCTTATTGTGCTAGTGTATAAATGCATGGCTATTAATATATTTGTTCTGTGAAGATTAAATGTGAAAAGAACGACGTCGAAAACAGCTATAAAAACTGCGTGTGAAACTTGCGTAAATTCATTGGAAAGTGGGCGGAGTCATATATGTGTCGTACCGAACGTATTCAGTTGAAATTGTGCGTGTGTGTTGTGTGTGGTGCTATGTGCGTGTCATATGGCATATTGAACATTGGTGATGTGACTTGGGTGTTCGTAGGCCGGCCCGTCACGAAGGCCTGTCACCTGCTTTCGAGTGTCCGCGTTCGGCTCAGCCCGCAGGAGCGGGCAGTTTCCAGTGGCACCACGTGGAGGAGTGGACTTCACCACCCGTGTGTCGAATAGCAAAAGTGAAAAAAATTCAAGGAGCAAGAATTCACAACCCTTTTGAAAGCCATACCGCGCTAATCGCAGTGGCGTGGATTTGGGGTGGATTAAAGCAGTGCCTAGGGTGGTCTTTTATCAGCTGCCCATTTTAAGGGGTCCGCTTTGAATGGAAAAGTGTCCTATTTTACTTGGGCAGTAGTTAGTGATCCTCAATTGTGATTTCAAATTACTTTGGCTTTTCGATAATTGTAGCATCACACGCCTGCGTATGTATGAACATAATTAATAAATGAAATATGCAGGCACTTCAATTGTATTTGTTCCGCTATAGAAGAAAGGGCGTGTCAGGAGGCCTGGTTTTGACGCGAAGCCAGCTCGTTTTCCAGCTATTGTTGCCTTTTGCCCGTTTCAACAATTGGCTAAATGTGAGCTGGCGCCGCGCCAAACCCACTCTTTCTGACACCTGCAGTGTCCGCAGCGGAAACGACTGCTCCCATATCAAGGCGGTGGCAGGGCAGGTGCTTTCTATCGCACGCGAAACATGCTTTGGACGATGATCTCGATCATTTCTACGTTTTAGTTAGTCTTCAGAAGGTATTTTAGACGGTCCAATCATAACGCATGAGGGCCATTTTCCGCGGCAGTCTTCTCCCTTACGATCAATGCTGAGATACCTGTCTAATGAACGATATAAGACGGAAAGTGCTATCACTCATCGGGTTCCGTAACAGAAAAATACCAGTAAGTTTGGATCAATCCTCACAAAAATCTAAGCTTTCGCTAGGGGTTTATAAAAATCCTACTATATATAATTCCGCTAATGTGTGTCTGTGTGTGTTATTGTGTTGTGTCAACGAATTCATTACCCGCCTGCCTGTCCCAGTAGCCGTGAGCACAATGCCTTTCAAGACAGTGATGTACGGGTGTAGAACACCATTAGTAGGTGACAGGAAAGTTATATCAGTCTTGATAAATTCGATAAATAGGCTTGTTAGAAGAACGAGGTCTACTATAATGCATAACGCAAGTGAAAGCATCCTATCTACCATATAATCGCTATTGTGTTGTTGTTGTTGTTTGTGTGATGTGGTCACAGAAATTCATAGCGGCCTGTACCCAGTACGCAGTTGAGACAATCATCCAAGAATAGATATTACGGGTTGCGCCCGGGAACACTATTGGTAGGTGACAGGAAGTTATATCAGTTGATAAGATTCGATAAGGGGCTGTAGAAGGAGAAGGTCACTATAATCATAACGCAAGTGACAGCATCAGCCTGCTCTCGATTTTAAGATATGATATAGAGGATAGTCCATGAACATCAGTAGTGGCTCACAAAAACTGTAAGCTGCTGATAAGATTCGATAAGGGGCGTTAGAAGGAAAAGGTTACCATATTCACAGCGCAGGTCACAGCAGCAGTCAGCTCTTGATTTCGAGATATGATATAGGATGAGGGCCAAAAACATTATTGGTGGGTAATAAGAACTGTGAGCTGCTGATAAGATTCGATAAGGGACGTTAGAATAGTGAGGTCATCGTATTCATAGCGCAGGTCACAGTATCAGCGAGGCGTGCGCCTCTCAAATCATAGAGATTTAGTGATGAGGACATTGATGACGGGTGACAGGTAATCTTATCAATCGATAAAAATTGATACGATACCATCTGCGCTAACCTCTCACCGCTTTAATGCCGAGTATTCGAGGCTCAGATTGTGAAACTTTCCTTTGGCCAACACTTTCCTGATAACACTAGAAAATGACTCTATCCCAGCTATCCTACTATATATTAATCGCTATGTTGTCGTGTGTGTGTGTGTGTCTGTGTGTGTGTCACGAAATTCATAGCGCCTGTCCCAGTAGCAGTGAGACAATGATTTCAAGAAGTGATGTACGGGGTGTGACGGGAACACTATTAGTAGGTGACAGGAAGTTATATCAGTTGATAAGTTTTGTTTGTGTGGTTGGTTGTTTGTTTGTTTTTGTGTTGGGTGTGTAGATTCGAATAATAGCTGTAGAAAGGAGAAGGTCACTATAATCATAACGCAAGTGACAGCATCAGCCTGCTCTCGATTTTAAGATATGATATAGAGGATAGTCCAAGAACATCATTAGTGGCTCACAAAAACTGTAAGCTGCTGATAAGATTCGATAAGGGGCGTTAGAAGGAAAAGGTTACCATATTCACAGCGCAGGTCACAGCAGCAGTCAGCTCTTGATTTCGACGCATATGAGATACGGATGAGGCGCATAAAAACTTATTGGTGGGTAATAAGAACTGTGAGCTGCTGATAAGATTCGATAAGGGACTTTAGAATAGTGAGGTCATCGTATTCATAGCGCAGGTCACAGTATCAGCGAGGCGTGCGTTTCAGCAAGTGATATAGAGAGAGTTGGGAACATCAACCGTGGGTGACTAGAAGCGACAACTATTGATAGGGGCTGATAATGGAGGTTGCAGTCGTCGTCGCTGTTTTTCAAGGGCGGTTACCCCAGCTCTCAAATCCATAGAAGATTTAGTGATGAGCGACTATACTTGACGGGTGACAGGTAATCTTATCAATCGATAAAAATTGATACGATACCATCTGCGCTAACTTCTCACCGCTTTAATGCCGAGTATTCGAGGCTCAGATCATAGCGAGACAGCCGACGGCGAGCCATGCGTATATAGTCGGCGAAAGAGTTGTCGAGCGGGGGAGGGGCGGCGGGGTATCAATAACATATGCAGACGTATGTCCGCATGGGCGTAACAAGAATGCATCATATAGTGCATATAAAAAAAAATTAATATGACTCCCACTTTTCCACAAGAAAAAATCAACTATCAAAATGAATTTGTCTTACCCCACCCCCAAATACGCCCACTGCCTCCCTAGAGCAAAAGTACGACTCCCCATGTGTTCACACACAGTCTGTACCCTGTCTGTGTGTTGTATGGCCGTTATGGCGCGCCCACAAGTATACAGCGTTTTAGTATGACGCAAGGATGCCGCCAGGTTGTCTCTATCTGTTATGGTGTACGCAATCAGAGACTTATT